AGCTCACCTTTTCCCAATTAAGAAAAGCTCTCAGGCAGTTCAGAACCTCTCCTTTAGCACGTTGCCTGGCAACTAACTGCATTGCTTTATTAATCACCGATTGAGAGAGAAATACATCATGCCACATGTTTGCAATAAACAAAGTCAATTTCTCAGATTCTGGAAAATCTATGAGAAAGAAAATAATGCAATAAACCTTTACGTCTGATCAAGGGAATAAATTACAAACTAAGAATAAATTTTATTAATTTCATTGGTGTCTTGTAAAGCATTGTGCAGCTGAAGGGATTATAAATGCGTAGCCCAGATGAGGCTCTGGTCTTGATTATTTCAAAATCTCTTGCTTTTTTTTTCCTTTTTGGCAAACTTTCTTTACATTTTAAATATGAATGTTTAGGAAAAACTCAAAATGTTTTTCCTAAAAAACACCACAGCCGTCAACACAAAGATTTCTGTGACCACGTGTGTGTGGGGGCAGGGTCCCCACATCAAGCAGTGGACACCAGCTTGGTGTCCTCTAATTCAATTCCAACACTATCTACCTGGAGACAGGCGTCAGATCCCACAGATTGAGGCTCAGCCCTCAAGCCTGTCCCTGCTTCAGAATCAGTCGTAAGTCCAGGCCTCTGGAACTTCTGACTGACTAGCTATAAATTAGGGATCCCATGACACCCTCTTTGGGTTTGATAAATTTGCTGGAGCAGCTCATAGAACTCTGGGAAATACTTAACTTATGTTTAAAAGTTTATTATAAAAGACCTTACAAAAGGATACAGACAGAGAGATGCAAGGGAGAGGAATGGAGGAGGGGACTAGGAGCTTCCACACCCTCCCTGGGCATGCCACCCTCCAGGAACCTCCACATGTTCAACTATAGAGAAGCTCTCCAAATCCAGTCCTTTCGGGTTTTTCATTAAATAGGCATGATGGACAACTGTGTACAAGTGTGATTGCGTAAAACGGGTATGATCTCATATCCTTTTCTCTAATAGCCTGAGTGGGGAAACCCAGCAAGGTCTGTTCAGATTCTTCTTGGCCTCTTTGTGCAGCATTGCTTTTCCCAGGGTATGGGGCGGGACCCTCTCTGGAACGAGGGTCTTAGAACTCACAATCAGGTTAGAGTCCTGCGTTGGACAGGTGAAAGGAGGGCAGGAGAAGGTCAGAGAGAGAGATTCTGTTTCCTGAGGCCTAAAGCACCCCAAGATTATAACTAGGGCTACGGGAGTTATGAGCCAGAAACCGTAAATGAAAACATATATATAAAATGTCACAATACTACACAAATATACAGCTCTGTATGACAAAAGAAAAACTCTAAAACATAAAGAAAAGGCAAAAATTCTTTCTCCAAACTTCCTCAGTCCCAGAATTCTCCCATCTGATATGTGTCAGTACAGGCAATTTTTATACATTTGCACAAGTTTAACTTACTCATAGAACATGTAAAGCTTTTGATTTGAAGAAATAAATATTTTTTATAAATTCTGGATAACACTCCTTTTGTTGCAAACACCTTCTCTTACTCTCTGGCATGTCTCTCTTTTTTTAATTAACTTAATTGAAGTATAGTTTACATACAATAAAATACATTTGCACAAGTTTAACTTACTCATAGAACAT